TGCACTCAGCACAGGGCTGGGGCGTGTCCTCTGCAATCCTCGTCTCTCAGCCCCGCCCGGCCCCAAAGGGGTCTCAGGCCTCCGCCACGGACACTGTGGGCGTTCCTGCGGCCCTGGTCAAGGTCATCTCTGGGCCTCCCACCATCCCCCCGGTATTGCGGCCCCCTGCATGGTTGAGTTATCTCCCACACCAGGGCGCGAGCCCCCCGGGGGAGGATCCCACAGCACACAGTTCCTCTTTGAATCCCCCCGGCGTGAGCCGGCTTGGCGCCCTCAGGCCGTCAGCTCTCCGGCAGGATCAAGTGGGCTCAGGGGCACCCTGGTCACCCCTCTCCCAACCAGAAATCTGTCTGGGGTTTTTCCATACTGAAGGCCACAGACATGGTATCTGCCTCCCGGAAACAGGGAGTTTACCTGGAGCCGAAGCCCCAGGTGTGGTGGAGTGACAGTCTGGCCGGGATCCTCTTCCCTGCCCTCCCGACGCTGGCCGGGGGCTCCCCATGCCACCAGCCCCGCCAGAGATCCGCGGGTGGAGTGGGATTGGTGGCCGGTCCACAGGCCCTGGGGGGCCCCGCGCTGAGGCACACAAGTGGTATGGGTCAGTGAGGAGCCGCGCCAAGTGAAGATAGCTGGCTTGCCCGATCTGAGCCGGCCGGCTCCACCCCCACCGGATAAAATGGAGGCAGCGCTGATGAAGGCACCTAGCCTAGTGTGGTAAGTGGGGGCCGGGCGGGCCTTTGTCCCCCAATCGGGGCTGGGCTGGGGGTCACTCACAAAGCTCCCAGAGCTGGGCCAGTCCAGTGCCTTCCTCTCTGTCTCTGCGTCACCGCTGCCATCTTTCCTGGCCTTTGTTGCCTTGGGCTGCTCGGTCTCCCGGAGCGGTTGGGATGCTCTCAGGAATCTTCTTTTGCATCGGCCCTAAAACCTCGAGACTGTAGTTGCTTTTTTTCGTTGTAGATTAGTTGATCAGTGATTTATTTGTTTTTTGTTGCTCTTGGAAATGCAAATAGTACTCTGGCAGCACAGTGCACACTTCTCAGGCTCGCTCTGTCCTCTGGCACGCCCGCTCCAGACCCGTCACCATCTTGATCCATCATCACAACATTTTAATACAGGAATATGTGTTTTCTTTTAGTACAGCCTTTCTAAGAAATGTAGTTGACTTATATGAGGAAAAACAGAAATCAATAAATGCAAATCCCAACAAAAAGAAAGTGAAGGGTAAAGAGGAGAGAAAATGATGGGAAGGAGAAAGAAAGTTCCAAAAATCTATCTTCTAGAATCAAAAGAACAGGAATAGAAATAGCTAAGTGCTGGAGTTAATTTAGAAACTAAATTTGGACCAAAAGCTCCAAAAAAATAACTATTAGGTGAACATTTGGATGAGAAACTGAGGACAGAACACAACCAGTTCATTTTCAGTAATTATAGATGAGAGATTTGTCCCTGAAATCTG